CTTACAAACGGAGATATATTCTGGGGACATGCAACTGCTCTAAGCCTTTATCCTTACTCCTTATGAAAATATTAACAGCTGTTAAGGAAAAACTTCTGAAGTACTCTTCTATAGTATATTTAAGAAATAATGTTAATCAGAATTTAGAATATCTAAAATCGCATTTTTTTTTTTCAAAAAGTACACACGGTATGACTTCTCGGAAGGTACAATGTAGGAAGCTATGATATCATAGACCAACACTTCTTTAATGAACGAGAGGCTCATGTGCCTTATAGGTCACTTGAGCATCATGTAACAATTTTTTTAACAATTTAATTGGTTAGTGTTTTAAACCAGAGGCCATGACATACACAATTATGAAAGAGACATGCTTTTGCATATTATTTTTGTTAGAATTTTAAAGGGAAGGGGGATAAAATAAATTTAATGTCTGCAACCCAGCAAATTTCAGATAAGCGATTCAAAGTTTTACATACATGTAGAAATATATATGAAATAAATCTTTAAATTTTATTCTTCTACAGAACACAAAGAACCAGTTTTAAGTTAGGTTAATAAGCAATCAGCCCAGTACACTGTAGAGTTATGGTAAACCGGTGCTTTGGTGGGGCCACATGTACAGTGATATAAATCTGCGTCTACAGAGTAACAAGGCTGTAGTTCTTCTTTTTAGAATAATGAAGATAGGATGATCACTTCTCAGTTCGAACGTTAACGTAAGAAGTTATCATTTGTCCCTTTTTCCCTATCTTTGAAAATATCTTGATACATGCATAAACAAACCATCAATATGTTCACTTTTTATCTTATATTCTTGTTTATTATCAAATTGCTTTCGCATAAACAAAAAAGAACACTTTTGAAATCTCACTTGATGTATTCAAAGGGTTTTTGTGTAAATGTTCTTGGTTATCGGCAATTGTTCTTATTTTATCAGACAGAAGTAAGTTCAGGGGGGAGGGGGGAAGCTTTGAAATATCTTGGACTGTAAATCCTCTCCCTCTCTCACAGACACTCTCTCTCTCTCTCTCCAGTTAAAATTGTTCAAACTAATTCATGATTTTTTTTAAGGTAAAGGAATGCCCTCGAAATATACTTTATAAGTATATATTTCACTTGTATACATTGTTCCATTTCGCAAGCAAAAAAGCTGTTTTAAGAATATGTAGAAAAAGGGAAAATATTTTTAACTGCATATCATTTGGATTTTATATTTTCCTCAAATTTGCAGATCCTAGGCTTTAATATTTTTTTTTTCAAATTTTGTGTTTGAAGAAAAATAATATGTAAGTAGTTTTCAGTAAGTTTTTTTTTTAATCTTCTTATGTATGCTTTTATTAAAAAAGAATATGCAAGCAAAATAGTGTAAACCCAACGTGATATAATTAATTCGTATGTTTACAATTAAGTTCTTTAATTACTGTAAGCAAACAAGTACATTCACTGTAGACACAATTCAGTCGATACCAATTTCTTTTTAATCTGCGGGTGTAAATTACGAGGATTGCCACTATATGCCTTTGCTGTACGTAAGGAACAGTGAGACAGATTACCGCGGAGAATTTATGACTGTACACATAGCGTAAATTACGAAAGCCCAGAAGGCTCATTCGAGATTCGAAATACGAGATTCGAAATTCGAGATTCGAAATTCGAGTTTCGAGATTCAAGATCCAAAATAACCAATCAAAAGGCGGTTTGAGATTCAATTACTCACCTTTATTATTTTTTACTATTAAGAAATCATTGATTATTTTAATACCGAGGAGGTCATTTTATTAAATTACAACGCAAAAAAAGTGTTATATATTATCAAAACGAAATTTAAAGAAATATTGGATTTTGCTCTGCAAGATATGCTTAATTAATTTATAATGGCTTCTTAAATGTCATAAGATATTTATATAAAGAATATATATATTTCGTGTTATCTACTTTGGATACAGGGTTGTTGATATAATAGTAAACTTAGATTAACAGTACATGCATCCCCCCTTTTTTCCGAACATAATTTTTTTACTATTGAAAATGTTCATCGAAAGGTCGGTTGCCAAGTCCCCACCCCCAACCCCCACGTTTTGGTACAGTAGTGCAGTATAGTCAAAGAAGTTTAAGTAGTAGTGTATTAAAAGAAATTAGGTACTACATTGTAAACGAAGTTCGATCCCCCCCCCCGTCCCCTTTCACGAAGTAGGATTTTTGGACAATTTTTTTCTGTCAGTTTTTATTTCCAGGTTTGAAAATTATAATATTTTTGTCTGCCCCCCCCTCATCCCCCCCCCCACCCACTCCACCCCACTTTCAAAATCGATGCTTCGTCTCTGTAATAATTAGTACTACGGGTTTCAAGGTGGATAGTGTTTGTGACACGGTATTAGAAAGTGGCACACAAGTTTATGAATACAGCCCCTTAAATACGGATGGCTGAAACATGCATGCTTAATATATGTTCGGGAATAATAAATTAAAAAAAATCATTGTTAATCCCCTTATCCCCACCCCAACCTCAAATAGGGGTTATCATGGTAATTGGAAGTTATTTTTGAATGGACATAAGCATTAAGTAACTGTTTTCTATAGTATATTATATAAGAAAAAATATTACGGGAATGGCCAAGTGGGGGGGGGCAACATTCAAGTTACAATAAATATATATTCGATAATTATTTAAAAGGAAACCGCTCGGGTCTAGCAAGATACATACCCATTCATTACACAAGTTCATACATCTTCAAGATCATCGAGTTCTTGATCTTTATTTTTATGTAGATTTTCGTAAAATTTTCTAACTTCTTCCAAGATCTCTTGTTGTTAGTTTACATATTTGCCATCAATAGAGAGGTTAAGCATTTGACCGTGTACGTCTACTTGCACGTGTAAACCTAGAAGTGATTTTACACGTACGCGTAACTAATATCGTGTTCTGTTTAACAAATTGGACGTGTACCGGAACGTGTAAAACGTCATTTTAGCAAGGCGCTTTACAATCCATTTGTATCAAATAAATCTATGACTTGAAATAAAAAAGATACATTGGATGTTTGTAATAAATTCTCCACTTCATACCAAATACCGACTGAAAAATATTTATTCCGTAGTTTGAGTTTAAGAAGCTACAAGTTTTCACCTACGTGTACGTGCGAATCTACACGTTGTGTACAACTTGTAGAATTACGCGGTATGCAAAACTGATGACGTAAATCGCATTAAATTAGGGGATTTCCCTAGCTACACGTACTCGTAGACGTACACGGTCATCTGCTTAACCTCTCTATTATTAATCAAGTTGTTGATATTCTTATTTACGTTATTTCGTTTTTCTAGGGCACAAAATATGTTGTAGGTTTCCTAATAGAGGAAATACATAAAAATTAAGTTTTCAATTAATTATCTTGGTCTAAGGCTTTGAAACTTGAATTAATTAAAAATCATAGATACAATACAGACTGGAATTTATTTTATTTTATATCAAATAGTAGATGAGTCTAGCTAAGCTGCAGAACTGTGGCGTTATTATCTTATATTTTAGTCTCTGACCATAGCGTTATGGTCAAAGACTCAAATATACTAGTAAAACCATAATGCTCATATCATTTGGGGGGGGGGGGGGCACAGCCACACATTTTCAGTTTTCAACAACCAAAAATTTCTTGACAACCAAAAACAAAGCAAAAAAAGTCATCAGATGTTTTAATGAGGGGGCACAAAATTGAGGGGACACAAGCATATGGTAGTTGTGCTTTCTATAGTATTTTATATATCGGCAAAATTATGGGGGGGGGGCACAATATAACGAACGGTACCCTCATTAGTATTTCATATATAAATAATAATTTTCTCCCTCATCAATGTTCTTATGAAAAAAAAAGTCAACCGAAGAATTCCGCAATTCAACGATAAGACCATATAATATTCTATATACGTATCTATTGTTTTGTTTAATGAGGAAAAATAAGAATGTATATATATTTTCCAAAATGTAACCTAAAATTACTTTTCATTTCGTTTTAATACATATATCTTTTTTTCTTGCATTATCATTTAAGCAAATGACCCATTTGATATGAATATATTCAACGATTTCTTGATAGTAAAACATGATAAAGGGGAGTAATCAATCAAAGTTTACCCTGCCTTTTGATTGGTTAATTTGGATCTTGAATCTCGAAACTCGAATTTCGAATCTCGAATTTCGAATCTCGTATTTCGAATCTCGAATCTCGAATGAGCCTTCTGGGCTTTCGTAGTAAATTAATACAATGCAGAATAAAAGTACTATTACGTTTCTGATTTTTTTAAAATCGCTGTCTGATTTTGCTCATTTGTTATACCTCTGCTTGAAAAGTGGAGGGGGATTTATGTAGTGATCGGGATGTCCATCCGTCTGTTCTGATTTGGGGTACCCATCTCCTTCCGGAACTCCTCTTATACCACTGAATGAAATATAATACAACTTTCAAATAATCTTTGTCACATAAAACCATTATGTACCTCCTATTTTACTTTTTGATCGGACACATAAGTTGGGTTTCCATAGGAAAATATGGACATTGCCATTTTTTCTATAATATTGAAGGATACCCATTTCTTATACACAAACTCCTATACCACTGAATAAAATTTAATGATACTTTCACAGATTCTTTATTACATACTGCCATAAATTGTAAGTTATGACATCTTATTTTACTTTATGATCTGACACTTATATGTATTTCGGGTCTTCCACAACAAAACATGGACTTAAATTTGCCATTATAATCATAAGAGAGGCGGGGATATCATTTACTGAGCGCACTGCCCACAATACCTCTAGTTGTAACAGTAAATCACTCTTTCAATTTGAAAAAAAAATGATAACGTTACGTCTGTTTTAGAAATATCTGTAAATACTTGTCCCTTCTGTGTTTTAAATAAAATCCGAAGCCAAAATGTCCTTTTTTAAAATTGAAGTATTATCAAAATATAGATTATGAATATAATATATTTTTAATTAGGTTTGGATTTCACTGGCCACCTTTTACATCCATAAATCACCTGCATTTACACGTGATGGCCCCTGTATTGTCCATGACCTTTCTATCAAGACTAATATACCGTGAAAATTCCTACTGGTTTGTGACAGTAAGTAAGTCAATTGAATCGTCAATTATTCTAAATTTTAATCAAAATTTTAATTTGGTATTCAAAAGACTTTACAAACTTTTGGTATTTGCAGACTAATTGGATGAGAAATCGGTTAAAAACAATGAAGAACGAATCGGGTGAAAGGGTGAAGGAGCAGTCAAACTTATAGAAGGCGTAATTGTGCAGAACATTAATCAAGGCCTCAGGAATTCGATAGATCCCCAGTGACCTTCAGAAAGTGTCAAACTTTATACCAAATTTAATTAGTTTCTAACACGACTGAAATGTTAATGATATTACCTAAAACTTACGTGATTATGAACAATAAGAAGATAATATGTATATGGTATTTGGTCTTTAAGTATAGTAGCTGTGCTGCTGAAGATTGTTTTTTGATAACATCAGGAATGATAAGTATATATTGTACTTGAAATTGCTTACATTTTATGTTGATTTTTTTAAATTTGTACACTGAAATATAGTACATGTCGATGTACTTGACTATTTATGTTAATAAATAAATGAAACAAAAATAATCATAACTGAGGTTATATGATAGAAACGTACAATGGGAAGCAGAATGAAATTCTAGAGTGGAAATGCCAAAATTAGGTGTAGGGCCATTAATGTACCATGAATTTAATGCATGTTACATTTAATTGACATGAAAGTTGATGAGTAAAGAAAGTGATTTAATTACAGGAAATTAGTAAATTTTGCTTTCCACCCTCGTGGAATTAAATGATTTGTGTACTTTATATAGCACGAAATGAAAACAAATAGGAAAGGTCACAAAAATAAAGTAAAACAAAAAGAGATCATAGGCGGAAGAAATGCTCTTTGTATTTACCATGTATACATGTATAATTGATGAATAGAAAAAACTCAATCTTAGACTTTTATCGTGTTAATTATAGAAGGAACCTTTGTGTGTACTTTTGATCAGGAATGGGCTGTTGTTGCTTTTGTTTAAGCTCATCTATGTCTGAGGAATTGTTGATTAATGTGGAGATTTATTTCTGAATTCTTTTAAGTTCTGAAGAAATTCCAATGGAGTCATCTTTTTAGACAAAGTAGCCCCTTCATGTGGGCGAATCATCTCCTTAAAGTAGGTTATCATCGTAGAGGCTTGATATGTTATATACCACAGGCCTTTGGATCGCTTAAATCCGATTTAAAAAAAAATATGGGGTGTATAAAAAGATAAAGGTATGGAACTCCTAATACTGGGTACCCTAATTCGCTAAAAAAAATCCCTTTAAACCAAATGTTTAAAATTTTACTTTCATATTTAATATATTCATTCTTAGATAATCTTCGTTACTAACGAAAATTCATTCCGAAATTCCATATAATTTCTGAGATACTCTGAAATCAATTACAATATTGACCTACTTTTTTTTACCCATTGCCTTGGGCCTCTGGTCACTCACATGTTTACAGACGATGTCTGAAGTACAGCGAAGAAATGCATAGTATTTGAACAATCTTCCAAATTTTAAAGCTCGTATGCAAAAGAGCGAATATTCATTAATGGAATAAATTCCGTGAAACATTTTTCCCGTCGTTCCCGCTTAATAAGGAGTGTAACTCTTCAAAAGCCCAAGCTGATGTCGAGTAGAAAAATACGGTTTGTTTTGGAATTGGTTTCAGAATATATAGGGAAGTATACGGAATTTCGGAATGAACTTTGGTAGTAATGAAGATTGTTTATATATGATTAGATATGGAAAGAAAGTAAAATTGTAAAGCATTTAAAAGAATTTTATTGGCGAAAGTGGGTATTCTATGTAAAGAGTTCCATACCTTTATCATACCCCGGCTTGAAAAGCGGGACGGTATATAGTGATCGGAATGTCAGTCCGTCTGTCTGTTCCGCTTTGGGTACCCATCTCTTATCCGCAACTCCTCTTTTACCGCTGAATGAAATTTAATGAGACTTTCACAGAATCTTTGTTACACAGTGCTATTATGCACCTTTTGTTTTACTTTTTGATAGGACACACATTTCGTATTTCCAAGAGCAAAACATAGACAGAACCTTTCTATTATATTGAAGAGTATCCATCTCTTACCTGCAACTCCTCCTAAACTACTGAATAAAATTCAATGATACTTTCAAAGATTCCTTACTACATAATGCCGTTATGCGCCTTCTATTTTACTTTTTGATCTGACAATTAATTCGGTCTCCCAGAGCTAAACATGGACATGGACTGGGTTAACATTTATTGAGCTTATTGCTGACAGTACCTTTAGTTTTTAACACCTTAGATTATCTGTCAGCGATCTAAAGGCCAGTGGTTATATACTTTACAATTACATCAGAATGATTTACAGCGAAGTGTATGTATGCTACGGTACAAATTTGGAAGAAAAAAACGCCTTTAGTTTACATATATAAAATTGGCAGGTAGTCGTTTTGGGATAACAGAAACGTTTGTCCCCATTAAGTTAGGAATTGCTACTCCTTTGATTTCTGACATCTTCTTGATCGGGTAATGCTGGAATTTACTTGAGAACAGACACCAGAGTTCGAACCTGCCACTGGGTATTTGCCACATTCTTTCAAAATAATGTTAAACTAGACAGTTCAAACGCCCAATCTGATAAGGTAGTCTTTATTCCATAAACTTTTTAAAAAGCTGGAAAAATGACCAAGTACGTAACTGATAATGTTCCCAACCCGTGGGTTTGTTTCTGCCCATTTTCACAAACTGTTAATCTTGACTTTCAAATCGAGTGGAGATAATTAGTTATCTGCAAAGAGAAGAATTATGTATGAGACAGTTTAAACTGATATGTTGACAAACGTTACAAATGCAGAAGATTTTTATTGATTCGGAGAATTTTTAATGCTTTTTAATAGAAATTAAATATTTCATAAATTTTAAATTTTCCATTATAAATGTTGGTTAAGACAGTTAATTGACCATGTAACCACTCTCATTGAAACAAAAAACATAATACCTGTCCCGATAACAAAGCTGTTGTGAATAACTGCGGATGCTTGTTTCTTGATATTGAGCAAAGTCAGCATATTCAAGTTATAAAACAGTATATTCAGTAAAAAATGATGATTAATATAAAAAAAAACAATTTAATGACACACTGCACTTTTGCTCCTTTACCATATTCAGCTATAATATATATATATATATATATATATATATATATATATATATATATATATATATATATATATATATATATATATATATATATATATATATAGCTTTTTACCACAAATATATTTTGCTATATATATATATATATATATATATATATATATATATATATATATATATATATATATATATATATATATATATATATATATATATATATATATTAGAGTTGAAATCTAAAGTTTTAACTTAACTATCTTGAAAGTTTTAGATAAATTTAATATTACAAATGTACATGTACATTGAAACTTTTATTTTCATCAAGTGCTAGAGTCTCCTTGTAACAGCTAGGTATATTGAAATACAGGAATAAGAGAGGGATTGATGATAATTTGTGTAACATACCTCAACATCGTCATTATTACATGCAACTCGGAAGTTCCGTGTCATACTTACAAAATTTCCTCTTGCCTTTGACATATAGTTATATTATACTCTCATGTAAATTAGTTGAATCTGATTCGTCGAGAAATATTTGTTTAAAAACACTATTACCCGCTGAATACTAGTAATAAAGCCACGCCTTCCAGCGTAGCAACAGTCAACATTGCTTGACGATGGTTCTTATTCCAAAAAATAGTGACTGCGCAGAATTTATGTGCACAGGAATCACTGTTAAATCATTCAGTATATTAAGAAATATTGCATGTACATGTAATTGAGTTTAACATTGAAAAAATTTCACCCCTCAACCTCGGCTTTTTCACTCCTAAAAACCATTGTCAAATTGGGCTGCGCCTAGGTTGACAATGGTTTTCTTGGAGTGAATTTTTTCAATGTTACACTCAACTACATGCAATATAAATATATTAACTTGCATTGAATCATCAGCCACTGTAAAGAAAAAAAAAGATTCAATATTTTAATAAATAAGTAAATAACTTTCCGTTTAAATTAAATTTACTAGAATTTGTTCCAGACTTAGCTACTCTTTCGCTATTGGTGTAATTCTGCTACTTTTTACCACAAATATATTTTGCTATTATATACGATTTTAGGATTAATTATGTTGAATTTGTTGTTCAATTACTATAATTATTTCAATTTCAAAAAACTACAAGCTTTAAATATATGAGAGATGTCCAAAAAAGAACATGCAGAATTGTGTTTTTGTCAATTTGAGTGGTCTTTAAATATATATCTCGTTGTTAAGATCAAAGTCAGAATGTAGTAGTTTCATTTTGATTGTTTACCAAGATTAAAAAAAAATACAACACAATAACATAAGAAATGAATTTTTTTCTATGAACATATTTGACAGCCTTCGTATAAAAGCGTTTTTACTGATTCAATTTCCGTTTCAGTATGTTGAATTTAAACTCAAACTCAAAAGCAAAGTCGTTCACATGACTTCAGAAAACTAGACATGTCTTGAAAGATTTGAAAGAAGAAGAGAAGAGACTCTTGTACTTAAACTACTAGTATATTCAGTGGTATATGAAATGACTTAATCAGTTTTGATATGCAAGCAATTATCCAAATGATTTAAACAGAGGTTATGGTACCAAATAATTTCAAGAGATGTTTAGATGTTATGATGCTTTATTATATATTATAAAGAACTTATTGTCAATAGATAATTTGAAAATGACTTTTACGTCCTTTATTATTTGATATCCATCACACGGGAATCTAAATTATATATTGAATCACAATAAATACATCAAAATATGAATGAATTAAGGATTACACTTTTGCCTCTAAAAATTCCATGGAAGAGAAGCTTTACATGACTTTTCTGCACCTAAATGTAGGCAGGTCTGTTGTTCACTTGCATCAGAAAGGATATATTTGATGCTTCCTTCCTCTTTATGCATAACTTAACGATCAAAAAGAGATTCTTTGATTTCTTTACCTATTGTTATAAAATCTAAATATGGATATTTATAACATTGCCATAACAGTATGAAATTCTAGGGCACCAGGATACTTGTAGATTGTCAATTTCACTTTTAAATTTATTTTTTCACAACCATGATCAATCATTTATTATTTTATGTATAATTAAGAAATATGAATTAATGAAAAAAACAGTGATTTTAAAATTATGTAATTTCCTCGGCCAATAGAGAAAATAATCCATGCTACGAGACTAACCCAGAGCAAGCATGATTCTTTCAAAACGTATCCTTAACGTTGATTTATGTCGTCGCGCTCTATTGCTCTTACCAAACTTCCGGGCTCTGCTTAGGTCCAAGTGACACAACCTTGTGTTGATGAATTGTATATACATATCTTTTAATCCCAACGTATTTTTTTACTATGTTGAGATTTATGTTTCTTGCCAGAATGAGAGTTCTAGCTCTTTTATCAAGTAGTTAATTTGTAAAATTACCATCTCTATTAAG